CCCCAAAACCCCAAAACCCCAAAACCCCAAAACCCCAGTTCAGTTTTATAAATTTGAATTGGTAAAATGAGTGGATTTGAATTTGAGCACCCACGAGCAGGAAGAGCCAACAGAGTCAGTGTACGCATTCCATGAAATTCAATACCAAAAAAAATATTTTAAATCTTTGTTATAACGTTTGTGCTCTAGGCTAGTTCAGGATACGTTGATCAGGCGAATAGATCCTCTGAGACTAAGAGAGGCGATACTTTTGTCAAGAAGCAAAGACTTTTAGAAGAGTTTGGCGCTTCTGGTATAAGCCAAGTGTAATACTATAGAAGGATTTCAAGCCCAAGACATGCTCTCCAAGGAACAAGTCAAGAGCATTTTAGATGACCAGCTTAGAAAGCATGGAAAATCATTTGATGAAGAGCTAATTGATGCAATTTTCTCAGATAAAACAAGTATTTCTCGAGATATCTATGGAAGAATCTCCAAGAGGGACCTCTGTGACGCCTACATTGAAATTGAGTCCTATTTTGGAGAGAACATTGGCAAATGAAATTACAAAATTAATGAATTAAAGAAGATCAAATCTGAGTACGAAGCACAGCTCAGAGAGACTTCCAAGATTGAAGTTGCAAATCAATATGGCATTATGGAGAATAGTGTTCTTACTATCACCATACTTGAAGCTAAATATATAAAGCTGTCTGATTATGACTCCCAAGGTGATCTCTACGCAACTGTTGAATGTGGTGATCAGGTTTTCAAGACTCAGCATAAAGAAGGAATGCAAGCCCCAATCTGGGAAGAGACTGTCACTTTTAAGATTTCTACAGGCAAAGAAGAAATCAGAGTATCAGTGATGGACAGGAGTATAATGAAACAGGACTCTGTGGTTGGAGTCCTGTATATTCCTATTACCACTCTGTCAGACCAACAAGAGATTGAAGACTGGTTCAACCTTGAAGATCCTCATGGAGGATATGGAGAATCACATGGAAGGATTAGACTCAAGTTATGGTGGGTTTACAGCAAAACAAAGCTGATAGAAGACAGAATCATTCAAACTGACGAGGATATTGAAAAAATCTTCAATGATAAAAATTACTATGCAGATAAAGTTGCTAAACTAAGAGAGCCTTTCCCATGGATTGATAATACTTTACAGAACCAAAGTAGCCATTCCATCACTAGAGTGCCTCCAGCTAATGACTATAGTTTAACAAGCTACAAAAGCGAGGAGACTGAGGATGAGGAGATGAAGACAAACCCGATAGTAAAGGTAGTTAACACAGTGTTTCCAGCAGAAAGAACTGTTGCAAGAGGTGTAGACAACACTTTTGATAACTTCTCACAAGGAGTGCTTGGTCTGAGATCAACACCATGGTTTAGAATGATGCAGTGGTCAGCTATTATTTACAACCTACTAACTCTTTGTTCATGCTTCTTAAGGTCAGATTTTGTAAACCTTTCTACTTGAGTACTGATCTGTTTCAGTATTGCAAAGATTGAAACCTCGAAAAGATGGCAATTCAGATTGATTGTTTATTGTCTCTTAGCTTCTTGGGTAATCGACCTTATATGGATAATCATGCACACCTCGCCGTGGTGGAGAAGAGTCAGATACGATGGGGATGTTGAACTTGGCATGAGAAGATTCGTGGTAATAATATCTTTCCTCTCGTTTCTGTTCAGGATCTTTGTGCTGCTGATCTTCTGGAAGTTCTCTCTATTCCACCGTAAAAGAATGTCAATTTAACAACTATAATTTGCACTTTTTAATTTTTGGGGTTTTGGGGTTTTGGGGTTTTGGGGTTTTGGGGTTTTGGGGTTTTGGGG